TCTATCTATCGTTCTATCATTCTATCTATCGTTCTATCATTCTATCTATCGTTCTATCTGTCTGTCTATCATTCTATCTGTCTGTCTGTCTATCTATCGTTCTATCGGTCTGTCAGTCTGTCTGTCTGTCTATCTATCGTTCTATCGGTCTGTCAGTCTGTCTGTCTTTCTATCTATCGTTCTATCGGTCTGTCAGTCTGTCTGTCTGTCTATCTATCGTTCTATCGGTCTGTCAGTCTGTCTGTCGTTCTATCTATCTATCTATCGTTCTATCGGTCTGTCTGTCTGTCTGTATCTATCGTTCTATCGGTCTGTCAGTCTGTCTGTCTGTCTATCTATCGTTCTATCGGTCTGTCAGTCTGTCTGTCTGTCTATCTATCGTTCTATCGGTCTGTCAGTCTGTCTGTCTGTCTATCTATCGTTCTATCTGTCTGTCTATCGTTCTATCTATCGTTCTATCTGTCTGTCTATCGTTCTATCTGTCTGTCTATCATTCTATCGTTCTATCTATCGTTCTATCGGTCTGTCAGTCTGTCTGTCTATCTGTCTATTGTTCTATCTATCGTTCTATCATTTTATTGTTCTATCTGTCTGTCTATCTATCTATCGTTCTATTGGTCTGTCTCTCTGTCTGTCTCTGTCTATCGTTCTATCTATCATTCTATCGTTCTATCTATCTATCTATCTATCTATCTATCTATCTATCTATCTATCTATCTATATATCGTTCTGTCTGTCTGTCTGTCTATCGTTCTATTTATCATTCTATCGTTCTATCTGTCTGTCTATCGTTCTATCTATCTATCTGTCGTTCTATTGGTCTGTCTGTCTGTTTGTCTATCTGTCTATCGTTCTATCTATCATTCTATCGTTCTATCTATCTATCGTTCTGTCTGTCTGTCCGTCTGTCTATCTATCGTTCTATCTATCGTTCTATCTGTCTGTCTATCGTTCTATCTATCGTTCTATCGTTCTGTCTGTCTGTCTGTCTATCGTTCTATCTATCTATCGGTCTATCTATCATTCTATGTAATTTTAATTGCTATTTTCAATTAACTTTTATTTTTATATTTTCAGTTTTCATTTTAATTTCAGTTTAGTTTTTAGTAATTTTGTTATGTGCTTTAGTCATTTTTAGTAGTGTTTGTTTTTTACAATTACATTTTACATTTATTCATTTAGCAGACGCTTTTATCCAAAGCGACTTACAATTGGGGACTTACAATATTTACAAAAAAAAAAGTTTTATTTTTGTTTTAGTTTTATTTCAGTTAGCAATTGTACAACTTCAGCTTTCAGATATTTGACTTAGTTGCAACATTTCAAATTTTTGTTTTTAATTTGAACGTTTTTAATCTAATATTTTATTTTATTTCGGTTAACACAGATGTTTTGGCTTTAGTTAACAGTAAAACAGTGCTGTGAACATCGTGTTTTGGTTGTTGTGGG